TGAGGCTTCTGGGGAAAATGTGGCATGGAACCAGAGAAGAGCAGACTCCACAACCAGTCAGGATGACTTTAGGTAACAACGGAGCCATCCATCTACCTTCTCCTTGCTTTCAGTGGTCGTTTCTCTTTGGCTTTCCTTGTTGTTCATTGGTGTATCCACGCGCCGCCACTGGAAATCCAATCAACATGGAATCAATTCTGTTTTCATTTGTGATTTTGTTCTGATTGGTCATCACTTTGCTGCTGAGTTACATTGCCTTTAGATCTCTCCTAATCTCAGTCGAATAGAGTTTACAAAAAGTGAATGAAATTCTTTTGAATGTCTGGGCACAGTATTGAAGAACAATAGCAAAATTATTTCTTTGGGAAAGCCACAGTTACAGCTATGTGACTCAGTTGTGTGTTGTGTTGGATGTGGCTTATGGTCATCAGCTTTCTCCATCTCCTCTCCATTGACTTGAATGGCTTCCAAACTTCTCATCACCCTCACTGGCTGTTTGTATCCATACTGACTGTCCGCCTTGCCCACAGCCTGACACTGATTGACAGCAGCCTGCCATCAGAGGCGGAGCCTGAGCTGCGGACCTACATTTCAAGGAGGCTGAGCAAAGGAGCCTTGCTCGGAGGCATGGGCAACATCGCCACTGTGGAACTCAGGTTATCATTTGACATATTCCCTAACAACCTTTTGCAACAACTTTTTTGTCCAGTGAGTTGGTTAACATAAATGTGTGGATAATTTATGCTTTGCAGTATCCCAGAGGAGGCAGTTGGCTGCTACTGCTGTCTCCTGGAGCAGGAAAGATCTCCTGAACAGCCTGATGCTGATGGGAATGGATATGTCATCTGCTTTATGGGTGGCTCTGAAAAAGGACTGAACTTATATCTTTTACATAGTGATGTTAGCCTAAGTTATATGCACCATCCAAGGCCTTCCAGCATTCATTTTATACACGATCCTTGCTAGTACAGAATGTTGTTATCATGCTTCCACATCATTGTATCTTTGCACAGAGAAGCAACTAATAGTTCCAATTCCTTGACTCAACACACATTTAGATTAGAGCTTGATAAATACGTCCAAGGCCTGCATAGCAGCCTGCAAACCCCAGAGGTATGAGAATATAATAACAGTGAAATGAAGTTGTAGATTTGTCATGTGTTATGACATTACTAATGCCAAATCTGTTTGTCCTCTGTGGGGGTATCAGCTACAAAACCTTGAGACGGAGGTGCGTCCCTATCTGAGCCGGTGGTATGAGGAGTCTGTGATGCACATTTACAGAGTGGTGCAGCTGGTCCAGAGCAACATCAGCTTTTTGTTGCACGCTGTGAGTCATTTTTCACCACTAGAGTATGTCCTAAAAAGAAAAGGCTTGTTGGAGATAATGAAATTAAGATACATTAAATAATGACTGGAAAAGCATACTTGCATTCCAATCTGTGCAATATGCATTTCATAATGTGTAACTCAATCAATGAATATTGCACAGTAGTGTGCTTTTCATATCATTTTACCTCAAGAGTTTGCTATCATAACCATGACCACAAACCCTTCCCTTACGCCAGCTCATTTAGAGAAACAATTGTGTACATTGTCGTTTTTGACTGTGCATGTATGTCAATTCCTCTGTACAGGAATATTCATTCTGTTGAGGGGTCTTGCTTAGTAATAATCTTTTGTAATTAAAAGAAGTTAAAATAATGTGAGAAGCAGAAAAATCTCCTTAAAGGAACAGTTCACCCAAAAACACAGACAATAGATTATTTTCCCAGAAAGCTATAGAGTGATTTGTTTAGACTTACAGTGGAGTTCACTGGTATTTGGTTTGTAACACTCAAACTGATAAACAATTACATTTATATGCAACACCATTTTGTATTTCCTCATCATAAAACACGGTTTTGTGCTTATTGTGAACAGTGGACAGTTTCTTCTTCCTCTAAGTGCTATGTCACCAAAACTTTACAATGAGGTCTGAAGAGTATTGATCGTACATATGTCATATACCCACAGGAAATTACACGAAAACTGTATAGATGCATAAGTAGCACCGGGGTTAAGAAGAAAAGTTAGTATGTTTTTTTGGGTGAACCGTATTTTCCCTTTGCATAAGAATACTGCAATCCTATTGATATATTTTCTTATCACTTGAATCCTGCTTGTGTGCAAATATAATTTTTCTCCAGAACAATGCATTTAAGTCACTCAACGTTTGCATACAGGCTCTGAGTCACACACACGTGGACGTCACCAATTCAGACGAGAGGACGAAGGCTGATGTGTCCAGGTGAGTCAGGTGCCAGTACCTGTAACTACACAACCATATCTGTTTGTCAGATGTTAGATGTTTGTTGTTCTCTGTTCCAGGTTCATTAAAGCAGCCAGTTTGCAGGGTCTGTCCCAGCAGGACACCACGACAGCTTCTCTGTGTAAGGCTATCTCAGAGGACACACAGTCTGACCTGGTTATAGACTGCTCCACCAGCCCACCCACACTCTCTAACAATGGTAAGTCATGCGCCATGACGTGCACTTGATGGAGAAAAAATAATTTGTTTCTCTTTATTGTTCAAGTCTTAAAAGTGTAATAAAGATTTTTTCTTCCTCCAGTCAGTAATCGTTTCTGTGATGACTGGATACAGGCATTTCTAAATGCTGCAGAGCGTTGCAATCCCTTCCTGCTCAGACAGATTCTGGAGAACTTCAAACTTAAGGTAGTAAAACATACACATTCAAGAATTTTTGAAGGGCTGCAATTAATGGCTACTTTCATTATCAATTAACCTGCAGATTGACTTTCGATTAATTGTTTTGTTTATGAAATCGTATAAAACAAATTGTGAAAAATGCCCATGATGTTTTCTAATCATTTCAGCTCTACTTGTTGCATGTCATACCACTCTCTCTCTCTGCCCTTGTTTCCTGTCTCTCTCTAGACTGTCAACTATCAGTTAAAGGCAAAATGACAAAAAAAAAAGGAAAAGAATTGATTGCGAAACCCTGGATTACATCTCTCACTTCCTCTTGGCAGATACACAGTGTATCATTTATTTTTTATTCTTCTGTCTCTTTCATCCCGATCTCTTCCCTTTTTTTCAACTTGTTGTTTTCTTTCTTTTAACCATAACTCCCCCTCCGCAGGCCATCCAGGACATGAACAGCCTGAAGCGCTTTGTGCGGCAGGCGGAGATGAGTCACTATGCCCTGTTTCGCTGTTGCCAGTTCCTACAGGGCTGTGGAAATGGGGATGTGTTGTTGCAGAATGCCAGGGCGGAGCACAGCGACCTGCCTGAAGCCTGCAGCATCATCACTGTCCTGGAGGAGTTCCTCAGGGAACAGTCCCAAGCCCAGGCCTGATCCCAATACACTTAACACTTAACTCCAAGTTGTGGCGTGTGCATACTTTTCCTGTTCTTGGTAAGACAGACTGCTCAACCAGCAGGTTACTATAATTCTAAAACTAGCACTACACCCCATTTTAAACTGTCCAGCTGTTCTGGCAGATTCAGATTCATTTAAATATTAGTTATAATAAAATAAAAAATAAGTTTCCTCTTCTGTCACTACTGCTGCTTCTCAACTAGAAGAGTGGTGGTCAGATCTGGAATATGTACTGTAAAACACTGACAACTTACACTCAGCTTTTCTCAGCAATTGTCTTTTTTTTTTTTTGGGCTAATCATAGTTTAGTGACGTCACTGCATTGATCTTAACAATTAAGGTTAGTTGTTAATTGAACTGTAAGGAAAAGGGCTCAGTGAAGGTGAATTCCAATTTCCCACAAAAAGTCAACAGGTAAATCAGTTAAGATCTACTTGTATAGAGGCACTTTCACTGTCTTTTCCCTTTTTGTGTCGTGTGACTGTGGGTAACAATACTATGAACCAAATATTATTACAAATGTTTTGCTAACTGACAATGATCACAACACAGAATTGATCCAAACTAAAGCTTCAGCTCATTGGAGCATATTTATCTATTGCTAATTTGATGTCCATATATTCTTTTAGAATTGTTTTGCATTTTATTTAAATGTATTAATTTTCTTGTGTGAAGACACATATTGAGAATGCACAAATCACTTTTATGCATTGCTTGTTACATAGGCCTGGTTTTTGCTTACAATTCAAACCAATACTTGCACTACTATATTATTTTTGTCTAATGAATACTGCTACTTTATGTACGTACTATATGTCTATCAAGTGATATTAGGTATCTGTTTAATTCTTCTCTGGGAATACAGTGTTGTAGATATGGTGTTATCTTTGGATATAATGTGTACATTAGAGCAAATTATTTTCTGTTTACAAACATCTTCACAGCCTTCACCAGCTCAAGAATTCAAGAGAAATAAATGGCCACTATGTGACCAGTCACTCACTTCACTGACTTAACATTTGTGTAGTTTAAAATGTTCTGCAATATTAATGCCCATAGAAAAAATAAATAAATAAATGAATAAGAAAAGATGATATATGAAAGTGCTCACAATAATATTAACATGTCTTATTTTATTTTGGTCTCATTGTGCACCTGCAACAAAACACTTTTTTTGTATTCCATTAAACCCATTAAGGGTTAAACAGACTCAAACCATTCCCATTAAAACCAGTGCAAAGTGTGGAATATAGCAATATCAGTGTTGGTGGTGTTTGACTTTAAACTGTGAACCAGGTGACATGTATATTAGTCATTTTACCCTTGTGAACCACAGTGTAGCTGACCGGCAGTGTGTATCTGTAGACTTTTCTGTGAAACGTGTTCTCTATAGTTATAAATGACTGTGTGGTTCTCGGTCTTAGACAGCCCGAGTCATAGACAGCTGAAATAAATATCACAATTCAACCTCCCTGTTGTGGTTTTGCATGTTGTCTCACATAAAAAAGTTTAGCAAAGGTGACAAACATTATTTATACTTATTATATCTGTTGCATAAATACTGTTTGTTTCTATTAAGCCTAAAACACAAAGATGGAGATATTAAGCTGCAAAAGTCTTCTGTACAAAGACTACGCTCCTGTCCACCTCTGGCAGTCCACAAACTGGACATTAGATCCTGCAGTAGAGTTCCTCCTCGTGCTGCTCCTCTGCAACCAGAGAGAAACAGCTGAAAGCTTGAGGCTCTCAGGCAGGAAAATGTTTGCAGCTGTTGCACATGAGGTTTTGTTGCTTATGTCATTCAGTGAACTTGTAAAAGAGACATGTTCTCAACGTGAACAGTGGCAGTAACATGAAGCAGGATTTACCTATCGTGTGATCAGGCATTTTCCTCAAAAAATTGCTTGGCACATCATAGATGCTCTCTGCTGGGTCTGAAATGGATTAAAAAGAAATGTCCATCAAACAAAAGAACTTCATTGTGTTGGTATAACCAAGTATTTAAAAGCAAACTATACATATATATAATATGATCTCTCACCTTGTTGTTCAATAGACCTCCTGTAAGAGAGAGGAAAGTCATACACGCCCTCGTCCATCTCTGTTGAAACGCTGATCTCACATTTCTCTGAGGAAGCATAACATTATACATGATGGGACCAGTTTAACCACCATTATCCTGCATGTTATGTATAAGCATTTGAAGTATATTCATACTTTTTCTAACTGGTAAAACGTCATAGTCTCCTTCTCTGTTCTCTGCATTGCTCAACCCACCGGACCACTGAGGATTATTGAGACTGTCAACTGAAAACAGGAGTTTAGCACCATATAACTCAATTCAAGACTTGTTTAAGAATGAATTGGAAACAAAATAGACATGTGAGGGGGCAAATGTAAAGTTTACCACTTTGATGTTGGGAGTTACAGGCTGATGGCGTGCTTTGATACGTGGCCTCCTCACTGTTCAGCTCCTGAAACAGGTGCATGGTTTCACAGTGGATTTGGACCGAAGGAGTGGGGGCCGAGAGGGGCCGGGCAGGCAGAGACTCCATCACACTGTCACTGTGTGAGCAGATGTGTGTGCTGCTGTTTAATCTGTCTCGCTGTTCACACTCTTCAAGGCTGAGGAGAAGAGATAGTGCAAGGTCAATGCCTGGCATGAAGGCGACTACATTAAGTGTTAGATCTCTGTTAGAACAAGTTTGACAAAATGCATGTTAATGCATGTCAAGGGTTCAAGTCCAGTTGAACCAAACATGAATATTTTAGATCTGTCATGAAGGGTAAATCCTCCGCCTACTCACTGTCTGCCTCTAGATGAAACTTGAGAGGTAGAAAGATGCATGGCTTGCCAAAGGTGTCCAACCCACTCCTTTCTGAGAGCTGCTGTATCTGCTGCCTACACACACGCATACACACATAAATACACAGTGGTTTGGAGGCAGATTTACCAATGTACAGTAAATGAGAAAACAGCCTGAGCACAGAAGTGACTTACCAACATTTTTCTCTTTCCGTTTGTCATGATAATCTCAAACATAAAGCGCTTGCTGCCAGCTCTCTGGACCTCTCGCACTGACTGCACCTGGACAAACAAGTGGATAGATACATACTGTACTTAAGTTTTCTAAATCTTATGTTTCCTAACAAGAGACAAATAACCGGGTAGGTAAATACCACAGAGTAGAAATACTTTACTTTAAGTACATAATTACTGGCATCAAAATATACCAAATGTACCAAAAGCTCTATTTATGCAGAATTTTCAGGATATTTTGTTGGATCATATGTACTGATACAATTATGTGTAAACAATACTTTAATACAGCTGGTAAAAGTAGGGATAAATGTAATCTTTAATCTATAATACCTCATAATGTTTGTTGATTATATTTTGTATTAATTATCTGAATCTGCAGATTAACTGGTGACTAAATCTGTCAAATAAATGTAATGAAGTAAAAACGACAATATCTGTCTCTGACATGTACTGAAGTAGAAGAAGAAGTATAGAGTAGCATGAAATAAAAATGCACAAGTAAATGTTCTTTAACTGCAAAGAAATTCCTCACATATCACCTGTAATTAATGGTGGAGGACTTACTGTGTAAATGTAGTAATAGCCTCTCAAGTATGGCTGTAGGGAGAGAAATGTCAACATGATAATGTTTGAATCTTGAAACAAAAACAGACCATTTTTTTCAGAAATGAGAGGTAATTTACTAAGTTTAAGAACTTTGAGATTGAGCCTGAATATTGTTCACTAGTATGGAATTTGACAGACTTTATACCACAACAAATGTCTACTTACAGCGCTGCCATTCTCCTTGGTATAGAAGAACAAAGTCGTATTTTGAAGCCTAAACCAATATGTCACCCACTTTATTTTCTAAAGACAAAAGAATAAACGGATAGCAATTATATTTTTTAAAATTAGTCTTCATACACACATGCTATAAAATAAATGTAACTTACCAAAGTATCTTTTCTTTTCTGCAGGAAGCCTTCAAACAATAACTTGGTCGCATCTACAGACATGTTGGTCCTCAGTAGAGATAATTCTACACTGGACACCAGTCGGTTTATTTCTATCTACCTGTGTATGCGGTTCGACTTCCTCCTTTCACTAGCTGAGAACAGTATCGTTTACAGCCCCATCACATACCCACTTCTCTATTTTTCTTCTCAAAAGTCAGTTGTTCACAAAAACAGTTGATCATGCATCCATTTCCCAAATCTACTTTTGGAATGACCGATTCTATTACTGAACATAAACACAATGACACCAGTGGGTGTAAATGTCATTTATTACAGGTATTTAAAACCATTTTATTTTCCTTTTTTTGTGAAATTAGCTTTCAGTTCATCCAGTAACACGCATACGGCTGTGCCAGATCATAATGTTCTTTATTGTAAATGCTGGAAAAGGAAAGAATGAGAAGAAACACTTTCATAATTTTAAGGTGGGAGAGGTGCGCTGAATGCCTGTTAATAGCATAATCCCTTGCTCTACAGTGCTTCTAACTTCATAAAAATATAAGATGAGGGACAAAGCTCTATTTGAAAACCAGAAAAATAAAAACAGAAGCAGATAGTCATAAATGATACACCATGAGGACAGCTTCGATAATACTAAATACAAAAAATACACGGGAAATGTAAATCCCTCCATCTGTTTCATGCGGTGCACTCAAAACAGACAAGAAAACAAAGAAACAGGTTAATAAATTAACACACAAAATAAACAAATGCATTACATCCATGACCGTTCTAGTGTTAGATGTAGCGCTGTTTGTCCCAACACCTCCTGTGTTAGGTGTTGCTTCTGGCTTGTGATGCTGTCTACAGGGCCAATCCTAAAATTGATGAGGAATACATACATGTTATACTGCATATACACATCTATGAACAGATTCAAGTCCCTTTGTGGTGTTTCTGTGTATGGCTGCCTCTCTCTGGTCTCCAACCATCTAACTAATAATACTGACCTGAGGAATAAAAAGAGGACTGGATCAGCTGAAAACATCCAGTGACTACCAGGGTCTGATCTGGACTAGACCAACAGATCACAGAATGTCACCAATTACAAACTCAGTGATGGACATGTGATATTTCAAATGTAATCGTCCTCCTTATCCCCCCCCAACATAAACTAAAAACTAATCCACGCTCTTCATTTTTAAATGCATATAAAATGTACTCATGATTTTGCTCATTTGTTTCTTGCATTGTGGGAAGAGGATGAGGTGGCGTTTGAGTCTGAGGCAATGAGCTTGGTTGGTTGGTTAGCCAGTCTTTGAGTCTTTCAGGTAGGAGAGGGAGGGGCAGAGTCAACAAAGGGACCAGGGGAGGAAGTAGCTGTAGCATGCTGTCTGATCACCGCTGTTTGAGCAGTGCTCTGTACATGGCGAAACCTAGCACGGCAAACACGGTGGCACCGACGCTCGCTCTCAGCCAGAAGGTGGAGTTCTTCAGGTCTGCTTGAGCCATGTGCCTGTGAGAGGAAGACCATGACAGAAAGCAGGTGAGTGGGGAAAATGCAATGAGAAAAACAGGAAGCAACATAAACCATATTGGTTCCATGATGGTATTTTTTTTCCCCCATTTGAAAAACGACAGCGGGATGAATTGCCAAATGACAAAATAAAGTCATGTGCTCTCTTCTGTGGAAACTCCCTGAATCAGGACCATAAATGACCAATATCAGTGCCCTATGATACCAGCTTGAAACAGGAACACATGCTTTCTTTTGACATTTGGTTTGGTTTTGATTTGGGGAAACAGGACCAAAGCAGTTGGATGAAAAGAAGAAAAAGCGGCTGCTAAAATTCGCACTGGGAGGCAGAATAAATTATAACTAATGGGTTACTGAAATTACACAGAGCCCTGGAGGTGCCACAGGCGAAAGAAAAATAAATTAAAATAAATAATTTTGCTCGATTTGTTATATTATTGTTTGTTTGTTTTGATACCTGCAGGGCACTGTAAAGATAGGTGAGCACCTGACCCACCTGATGCAACTCCACCTGACCTGGCAAGAAACACAAACACTGGGGAACTATGCAGACTGTAATCAAGGCAAGCTTATAAATAAAGCAATGAAGGAGACAGCAAAGCAAAAAAATAATTCCAAGTATTACATGTCAGCGGATGGCTTCAACAGTGACTTTAGACTGCAATTAAAACTTTCCAGCAGCTGATCACGGTGCAGCTGACAAGTCTACAATTAAGCCTGCACAGTGGCAGACTCTGTACAAAGCATATTCGCCCGTCCATCCACATGTATAATATACGTCTCTGTGGATGTGGTTACTGCCTTTACCTGTCTGAGGGAATTAGCTGCTCAGCAGAGGCCTCCATAAAGATGGACCCCTCCACGTTGGAGACAGCTGAAACCTGCTGCGTCAGGCTGAAATCCTCCTCTGACATCAGCCAGCCCCCCCCAGCCTCCACCCAGCCCAGCAGCCTTACACACACACACACACACACACACACACACACACAACACACACACACACACACACACACACACACACACACACACACACACACACACACACACACAAATATAGTCGGTAGAGGTGGGTGATGCCTCAATATAATATTAACAGAGTTGCAACTAATGACTATATCCACTAGCAGTTAAACTGATAATCGATTTTGTGTGACACAATCAAGTTTTCAGAGCCTAAGTTGTAGTCTTTGAATGACTTGTTCTGTCTGACCAACAGTCCAAACCCCAGAGATACTGAGGTTGTTATTATAGTAGACTATGGCAACTAGCAAATTTTCACATTTGAGAGGCAGATCTAGAGAACTGTTTGTATGTGTGTCTAAAAGAAATTAGTTGAAATGATTGTTTAATCAATTTTTTCTGCAGATTGACTAATGGAGTACCTCTAATCCTGACAGTGTCATGTAACACAAGATATCATGTGGGATTTATTTTGTCTTAATATTATAACAAAAGCATAAACGTTGTCTGAATCCGACTGCTGAATTGAAACAATAAATGTCTGTATTTGCTTTTGTACGACAGCTTACTCTCATTAACAATAGTAAGAAAAGTTTTACATTTTCTCTGCTTTATCTCATTTCATCAGTATCACCCAGCTCTACCCAGCCTGAAAAGTAGGAACTTCAATCACCACCCAAACCCTTAAAGCTCAAGCTCAACTAGGAGTGCAACCATACCTGGTCAAATGTCACTGCACACTTCAAACAAAGAAAAGCAACACACGCACACACACACACACACACACCATATATCCAACCTGCACACACCACATGGCAGACAGACTAAAAATGTTGTGGATCTCTTTGTCGCCGGGCAAAATAAATTTAAAAAGAAATCGTTTTCTTCATCTTCGAGAACAAGTTTCTTAAGAAATATAGTACGTCTCCACTCTGTTCTGTTTACCAGGTTTTTTCCAGCTTTCTATTTTGCATATTTTGCAGACATTGCTTGGCAGCTGCCATGTATTCAATTTATTTAAGTGCAAACCAATACAAGTCAACATGGACTTGCACTTCCTGTTCAGTTAATTTCTGAACTTTTTGAACAAAGTGGCTCTGGAGACTTCGTACTATTGTTCTTTATATCAGGATTGCACACTCTGCATGATGACTTGATTACAATGCCAACTGGACTCATACCATGTTAAATTAAAATAACATAATCCCAGACAACCAACCCACTTTTCAGAAAACCCTTTGGGCATTCAATGTGGTGTGTCGGCCCATTGCACTGCCAGGGGTGGCCTGTTTAGTGCCATGCTATTAATAGTGTCAGATTAAAAGGGCATCCACAGAGGGGGTTAGTACACTACAATATGTAGCTCTGCCTTCAGACCCTTTGGGGTTAAAACATTTTTTTCAGACAAAATCAAACATATGGCACAGTACTGCCCCATCCAACACCAAAAACAGCTATTCAAACCCTACCTTTAGGTTCAATAAACCTCCCCCATCTTAATAAAAACACCAAGCTCTCTTTACTGTAGAGATGGACTGATGAAAAACACTATTCCCAGCTGCCAGTAGATGGCAATATTTTACTGAGGACTGAAGCATGCCATTGGTTACCCAGAGAGAGGTGGAGAACAGGTGAGCCATGCAACATAAACAGCAGGCAGATTAGCAGAGGGTGAGCACATGCAAGAGGAAGAGAAAGAGGGGCAGCCAAAAACATGTGTATGAACAACACCTATAGAGGGGAAGGAAAAACACAAAGACAGGAAATACAAAATAGGAAAAACAGAATGAAATGACAGGGTGATTGGTACAGTGCAATACAAACAATTTAAACATCAAAGAAACACATTTGATTTTAAACATCATCACAACATTAAATTAATGAAATCTTAACCCACAGGAGAACCAATGAAAAGGGGTTTTTAATTTGGGGTATGCACAATTAAAGTAACACCTGTGCTTTTCAAAATAAAGTGTCTCCTGTGGGTATAGACTTCAGTGTTAAGAATTGAAATGAAGACAAAGTGAGACTGAAAACATCATAGATAATCAATCAAGCACTGTTTTATAATTAATGAAGGCTGGTGTCGCAGAGAAATTAATAGACGAGAATTTTAATACTTAAATCAGATATGAAACATGCAGACATGCAGATTTCAATGAGGTTTTCAGTTTGAATGAAACACAAACCAAAGAGAGTGGATGTGTTTCTCTCATTTTCTATGCAAATAATATGCTTGTTAGTCAAGATTTACTGTTTGCATATCCACTGCAGGACAAGTAGGAGCAAACGTCACTCTAAAAAATGGTCATGTGTCATTTAACATGTAATTGTCAACTTCTACACCTGGAATCCATGAACAATTTTTATCACACATTACAGCTTTTTTAAATTTTATTTATTTATTTATTTATTTTTATATATATCTATTTTAAAATTATTATTAAAAGTATTATAGCATTATGGCATTATATAAAATAACAAATTACTAAAATATCAAATATACCCAGATCTATCCAAAATACTAAAAAGGACAATTTAATCTTTTTAATAAAATGGAAATTTTTCAAATTCAGATCTCTCTCAATTTAATTCTACATTTGTGTTATATGGAGTTAACACTGCACAAGCAAATAATTTCATGCATTTTCCACACGGTTTCTGACACACTGTTACCTCCCTGGCAAGTAGCCTGTGTGTTAGCTGGCACAGCATGGTCATACTTCGCTGTGTGACACTGTACAGAGAGCGGGTGGGCTGGCTGGAGCTGGAGCAGAGACCAAGATACCTAACATGACTAATGGGTTTGAGGTCAGTTCAGTTTTGATTTGGATGTGAAGCAACATGTAAATCTGAGGCCGAATAATCAACAGTCAATGAACATACTTGTTGTCCACAGTGATTGATTGACAAGTGACTGGTCTGTGGCAGTGAATGGGAAATAAAACATTAACTAATGTAGAGAGAAAGGGTCAAATTATATTACAATTTAATTTAGTACAGAGTTTTGGGAGGAAGTTATTTATATGATCCAAAAACTCTTACAAGATTTTTGAACAAAAAATATTTTTATTCCTATATATTTATTCCATGCATACTCACTGGATCTTATTTTGTGAGCAAAAGAGTACATATTTAATGATACATGTATATTGCAAGCAAAGATACGTATTGCTCTGAAGTGGAAAAAGCAATAAGCCAAATACTGATGTCTGGATTAAAAGTATAGCAGATTGCATGGGACTGGAAAAATTATCCAAAAATACACAAAAAAATAAAACTAAAACAATAACACACTTTGGACTGCAAACTGCATTTTTCCAATGGCGCAGTTGTGGAGAGTTGTACAGACTTTCTGGTGTTATTAGATGGTTTTGATATGTTGGTGAGCTGACATGATGAAGCTCATTACTTGCAAGATTTCACTGATGGTGAGCATATGTTTGTGATTCAGGAAGTTCTCTGGGCTGCTTCTAACTTCTCTCAGGACTTAGCACTTGCTTTTAGCAGTAAAACAATTTGCTAATTACTCTTAGACCAAAAACTTAGTAGCCTTAAATTTAGGACTGACATGCCCTCTATTTTTTAGGAGTTTCATCTAACTCTAAAAATGGTTCTCATATGTTCTACTAGTCAGTTTGAAAAAAGAAAAAAAGAAAGAAAAAAGCTTTGATTAGTGACTTTACAACGAAAGAATGTTCTTTCTCAACAAGCGTCCACCTTGCTGAAGTGTAGCTGAGCACACAGCTAATCCCTGTGTCCTGACATCTGTGTGGGAACACAATGGTAAACAGAAGTTTCCCAAATTTCCCCCTGATCAAGCATAATTCAGCACCACAAATGGGAGACTATATTTCTAACAATATTCGGGCATAAGGTATCTCTACCACCACATAAAAAAAAAACCCATTTCCCTGCAGTGGATATGTTGAGTAAATCTGACCACTGGCGAGCACTGAAGGAAAGCAGAGGATCTGTCAACATCACCAGTGTTAGAGAGCTTGGGTGAAAAAGGAGCCCCTCTGTGACCCATCCTGGAGGAGGGTGAGAGACAGAGAGGAGGAATAAGTATGTTAAAACACTAGAGCTTATTCTAAGTATGAACCTGTTGAAAACGACCCTGCGGAGTTGGGCCTTAATATTGCGCAGCAGCTCCAACTTGAGGAGGTTCTGACACAGGCAATAGGTGCACCTGTTGCAGGCACACATGCAGCGGAGGCGGGCGTGGCTGCGGAAAGACACACAAAAATGCGTGTATTCACCACCATACAAAGACAACACGAACCACAGAACACAAACATAGGAGGAGGAGGAGGCCAGAGCCGGCTGGATAAAACCCTCAACCATGTTTAGCCACTAGACTAGATGAAAGCAGGACCTACTTCTCTGAGCTGAAACCTGCACTGCAGCCATTTACCTCCACCTCCACAACTGGTACTTTATTCAAAGATTAGACAAGAAATCATCTAGACAAGCTAGCAACATCTATGATGAACTTTCAAAGGCTAAAGCTTAGAGGAAAAACACAACGAAATAAAGGGAGAGGAAAACTACAAAGAACGAAGGGAACAGTCACCACAGCAGAGGAAAGGTCTGGGAACACAAAACCTCTCAAAATCTGTTTTTGTCTGACCGTTGCAATCTCTCCGTGATCAATTCCCCACTGCATAAACTAAAACCAGTTCATAAACAAAAAGCATCAGATTTTAGATTGGTCTGTAGGTTTAGGCTAGTCTTAATTTTACACTTCGATTAATCCAAGGTAAGACATTGAAGTCACAGAAATGAAAGACTGACAGCCTAAAAATTGAGCCACCTGATCCACAGGCTTTCTCTAGACTAAGAGTCTAACAATCAGTGACACCTGACCCAGTGCCACCGAAAGTTTTTAGAGACCGCAGTAACCTGTTGGAGATATCCAGCAGTGAGGACATTGTCAATTTTTTTCAATTGTCCAGGAAATATCCTGAGCCTACCTGATGAGTTCCCAAGCCACATATTTTATTATTGTGTTACACTCTTCACTGAAATGCCCCAGTACAATTTCATTGTAATAACTTAAGTGTGAAATATGTTTCAATATTTAAATTCAACATTTAAAAAGCAACTCAGGGTGGAAGGTGTGTGCTGCCAGCTGATAGCTTAAACAACTCACTTCTGAATCATCCATTTGGTGTTTGAGCCAGAATTCACCCTCCAAAAGTAGATTGGTTTACTCCTTGTTGAGTACTTAAACTCAAACCCTACAGCGCAGCAGATCCAATTGTATCAGAATATAAACAGGATTTCTGGCCTGCTAAAATGACATTTAGTGGACATGTCCCATTGAGTGCTAATTAATCTACTCAGAGATCTAATCTGATCAGAGAGCTTTGAGGGGATAAGACACTCACTGGGTCAATTAAGTCAAAGGATTGACCTCACTGAATTTCAGGCAGGGACTTGCATGATTGCACACACACATACACACAGGTACAACTTACAAGAGGACATAAAAGATCTGCAATACAGTGTGCGTTTCAATTGTTTTGGGTGTTAGATAGAGAAGTAAGGAAACTAAAGTCCTCATCTACTGAGTTCAGTGGGTAGCTGATTTCAGAAAAGATCTTAAAGGGCAACATGTGACTGCCTGTCCTGACACACACAGTACATCCAGGAGAGAGGAGTGGATACGCACATGTAGGAAAAGATGGGCATGGTACATAAGGATGCAGGACTAAGAGGTGTAGAGGGTGAAGCCACAGAGATATTTAATACTCACGGATACATGGCCATGGTGGTGAGTCTCGTGTAGATGTCTTTGTTGGGTGTTTCGGTCATGTTGCATGTGAACGGCTGGGGTGGGTGAAGCTTGTGCTTACGGCAGAACTCATGCGGTGAAAGGCTGTAGTGCTGCCGTACTTCGTGCAGGTCCGACTTGGCAGCAATCACCACACACGGCGTCTTGCTGTCAATGAAGTATTGCTGCCAAACACAAACATTTAATGTTCAGACTGCGTAAAGCCGACCTTCAGTGCTTCCTATAAACATTTCTCTTGTCCACTGAAACATACGTCATCTACACACCTTGTACACTTTGGCGCAGTATTCAAAAGAGCGTGGACTGTTGATGTCATACACCAGGCAGACCACATCACAGGCTAAGTCCGCCTCTGACAGGAAGTCAAAATCTGGCATCACTTCATGAAGCTTTTAGTGTGCAGACAATACAGGGAACAGAAAGAGAGGGACAGATGGACGGATTAACATTCTGCAGAGTACTAATACACAGTTAAGTGTAACACAAAAAGATTATGTAACAGTAATCCCAAGAACAGATGATTAGATGATTCCTGAGTGAATGGATCTCACCAGCAGGTACTTCTCCTGACCATAAACATAGGTTGTACTGATGGCATAGAGGGACTTGTGGTCTTCTCTGATCCGCCTCTGTCGCTGTGGCAGAAAATAAACAAGGTCAATTACAAACACAAATCAGGGCTATTTACATGTTCATGAGCTGGTGCCTTCAACTGTGTGTGCTTTTCCCAGCAATATTCTTGAAATCTACTTTCCAAACTACATAATGACTCATCATCTCCTAAATTTGCATATTCTGTTATTAGAGCAATTTTAAAATTTCACTTGATAATTGTAAAATGCTGACCACATTAAAGCCATCCCCTTGAGGCTGAGTATATTATAAGGCATGTCTAGAAAGAAGATTGAAATTACCACTCTAAAAATACAAGTTTACAGGGAGTTGAAAATGACTTTCATCAGTGATTTCCAACGAACCTGCAGATTCCTGCCCAGGAAAGCTTGGAGGAAGCCGCTCTTCCCACTGCCTCGCGCCCCCAAGACGTTGCAGCGGAAGACGCTGCGCTGGGTCTGTTTCTTCTGCAGATCAATGCGCTTGTTGCGTGTCACTGAAAAAACAGGGATGGCAAGAATATACAATGAACAATGGAAACATATAGTATTATTCATGCATTCGTTTGTAACAAACATTTGATAAAAAGCAAAGCTAAAAGCCAGTTTAAAGACAGAAAACATAACTGAAGAAGAAAAAAAGTAAGACAGGTAGTGAGCAGTGAGACTTTAACTTTGTACAGTAATGTGTCAATTAATATATATCACTTGCTTTTGTGAGACAAACAGCACCAAAGAGTTTATTGTAACTAAAATCTCTCACCTGTAATGGCAGCTGCTTGGGACTCCTGTTCATAGATGATGGAGTAGCCCAGGTAACCCAAATACTCTACACTACGCTGTACATCCAGATATGTTGTTAACCTACCACAGAAAACACACAAGTCATCATAAGTCCAGCGACATTATTTTAGATTTACATAAGTAAGATGTTAAAGCACAATGTCTGTCCTACAGTGAAAGTATTTAGGTTGTATGAAACTAAAATAGGTACGTGTGTACGTGTATTAATAGATATGTTCCACACTCACGTCCACTGCGAGAGGTATCCCTGGTATGTGATCCATCCTTGATCGTTTGTGCAAACCGTGTTGTTGACATCCGGGCCCCATGGCATGTAGGGAAACACTTTGAACAAGTCCTTCACCTCATCTGGCGACAGCGCACAATCTCTGTCCTGGATCATGCAAAGTGCACACAAACCGCAGACATAATTTTAAGTGGATTATCTTTTGAAAGGCATGAGTAAGCACAGAGAGCCAAAATTTTTTCAAAGGTAACATGATTTGTTTAATCACCTGGAACACAATCACATTGCCAAATATGAAAAAATTAAAACGCTCCACATGTATGTTCAACAACATGGAAACATGAGAAGTCTGACCACTCACTTTGTCATGCTTGTCAAACACACTCTGAAGGAAGAGGTAAGCGTTGTGATTAAGCTCTGTGGTGCAGTCTCCGGGGATCTTTAACCTGGAATAAATAGAAGGAAACAAACATTGATTTAACAGAAAGCTCTGAGGCACTGACTGAGATTTCTGATGCTGCCTTCAACGGTGACAGAGAGAGACACAGTGTGCTTGAATCACTTCAGGCCATAAAGATAAGCACACTATTTCAGTAGAGGAAAAGAACTGATATGACAATTATCAACTGTGATCAACACGAAGTCATTTTAATCCTTGTGTGGTGTTCGGGTCTGTGGGACCCGTTTTCATTTTTTGTCAAAAGAAATATTATATGATTAAGTATTTTTTCAAACCCAGACTCATTGGCCTTGGCTCATTTTCTGTGAAGAATATTTATCAGAACACATTTTCAATGACCACACATTGTACACCCCCCTACACATTTTATATTAACCATACAAGTATATGCTGTTTACTGTATATTGCTTGTAATTGGGATGAAGTAAACATCTGTTAAGTATTTTAACAGAAAATTGTTTGATTGTGTTGAATTAAACCCCAACAAATGCAGCGGGCCCACCAGACCCGCCAACACTGGCTGAGTAACAAAAATATGAACATCACACAAGGGTTAAAAAGACATCAATACAGCTACAAATGCTTTTCCTACCATGACATGTCAAAATGTCTTCTGTGAAAAAGTCCTACTGAGCATTTTCATTGGCCAGGAGTCTTGATGAACAAGCAGGTATGAATGGATTTTATAAAAGAGCTGCAAAAATTTCAAGCAACAAACTGGTTCTGGTTTTATCTTCTCAAATGTGAGGATTTAAATATTTTCTTTATCGTACATGACTGTAAACTGAATTCCTGAATAAAATAAAAAATTGGTATACAAATAATATCAGAGACCTACTGTATATTATGTTGCTTAGCGGTAGCATAAAGTTTTGTTATGCTGTGCAAAATAAAAACAATAAAAAAAAACTTGTCATTAACACTCATAACATCCAAGCAGCATGATCATCAATCAGGACACTGTGTTAAGTTAACAAAAAGAAACTACCTTTTCCCTGTCTCCACTCTACCTTAAAAATGTATAAATTCCACAAAATAATCTTGGGACTTACAGGGGGAACAGATATTCCTGTGTGAGCTCCAGGTCATCGTCATAACCAAACCTCCTCAGCACAGTCCAGGTGGTCTCGTGTCGACCTCGCTGTATGAAGAGCGTGTGCAGAAACAGGAAGCCTGCAATAAAGAGCCAATGAGACAAAGGCCAGCATTCAAAAACTGATAAATATGTGACAATGATATTCACTGTCTTAAAAGAATGGACTGAAATGGACATGAGAGAGGATAAGTAATAAAAAAGGAGGAGGGAGTAAAGAGGAGAAAACAGAGTGTCTCACCTTTGAGTGTGAGTCCGTTGTCCTTGACTCCATCTGTCATGTTCCTCCTGACCACATTCTTCACATCCTCTAAGGCCTGGGGCGCCAGTGGTGTATTGAAACAAGTTCTCTATATATACACACACAACACAAGCAATACAATGAGCTAAAAGAAGGTTCACCAATAGTTGCCATTGGAAGGCTGTTGGCTTTTTTTCAGATTTGCCTCATGTCTAAACCTGCCTTCCCAAACCAGTCTAGCCATTTTGCCCACTGATTATACAACACAGCTTAATGAACACTTTCACAAGTTTGGACATCACAACAATGGTGTTCACAGTGACACTATAAAGTGGAAAACATTACCTGGAAGAAGTTGAGCTCAGTGTCATTAAGGACGCCGTCATTGTCCAGATCAGACACTTTAAAGATTCTAGTTAAAGCCTTAATGCAAGAAGGCTTCAGCTGTAATACAGAAGAAATGCATTCATTTACATGTACTTCTATAATGCAAACACATTTAAATTTTGGCAGACCAACTTTACAGTTTCTGTTTTCTCTCTCACGATGAATTTGATAAAACGATAAAATACCTTGAATATCACATGCCAATCTGATACCCTCTTAGTACAAATCTGTATATCTCGCTCACTGGAACACAAGCAACATGAAGCCAGTGGTTTCTGTGTGTTATGTGGAGTAGTAGACTCGTATTATTATGTTCACATGATCAATTTCCTTCCGTCTTTTGACTGACTGCAGGTCCTCATGTGCAGCAGTGTTGAGTGTCAAATTTGTTGAGCTACTGTTGGACACATAGAGAGCATGCCCATCTTTATACTGAGTTGTGTTAAGGCAACTACACTCCATATTTGTTTCCTATTTGGGCCCTACACACACAAACACACATAGTCACACAAACACACACTATTATAACTGCCTAATAAACTGCCTATAATACTGCATTGGGAGTAATTCAAAACAGGCCTTCTCCACATAACATTTTGACAGGTGTTTATAATAAAATTAATGATGGCTGAATTGCATTTAGCTGCTTGAGTATCAAGCTCTGGTTTAGACCTTCCACCAAAATGGAACACAGGCATTGCTATGACCGATCAAAATATCTGCCATGAAAAAAGTCTATTGTACATGGTGGCTCACTGTCACACTGTCATGACTCACTGGGACACTTGACAAGAATCTTACTGTAGCTTATGTTATTATTAACATCTATGTTTTTCCTCCCATGACAAGTTAAAATGCTGTCTCTGCATCTGCTGTATAGAGCTCACCTCCTTCTCCTCTGGGCAGTACAGGGGTCCTGTCGGGTGAAGAACGGCCTTCTGGGCGTAATAAAACAGCTCAGAGATGTTCTTCAGGTTTTTGGCAGAGCACTGAGGAAACAGGACACATGTGTGTTTCAATGTCCTGGAGCAAAATCATCAGGAAATGTCAAATTGATTCACAGGATTTCTACTATTTTTATTCCCATTTGATTCTACTTCACAAATTCCCATAAAACTACAATATTTAGTTACAACTGTAAGTTGTACTGTATTTACTTGATTATTTTAATTCTAAGTTACTTTATATTTCTATTCTACTACATTTCAGAGGCAGTAGTTAGTCGTTACTTTGCAGATGAAGATTTTAAAACCCTATTATGCTCATGTAAAACACAATGCATTTTTATACAGCAAATTAAACAACCCTGCAGGGTAAAAAAAATAACCCTACTGCAGCCAACATTACATTACAACATTATAACATTAAAATACAGTCACTGACAGAGCTCACTTTGGCTGCAGAGTGAGTACTTTTACTTTTATACTTTAAGTAAATTTTTCCCTACTTTTACTGCTACTTATATAAAAGATTTTAATACTCCTTTCATCACGGGTAAAGAAATAAAGAATAAACTCAAAATGAGAAGAGAAGCAGGACATACAACCACCTCTGGGCATAGTTTAACACTGACCCAGCAGTGAAACACCGGTAGGTAGGTAGGTAGGTTGACACACTGGTATTAGTTGACAGTGAGTCTGCTCTCACCAGCTGTGTTACTGTCCCAAACTGTGTCCACTGTGTATGTGCCTTCCCTCACGTCCTCCTCATGTCCTTCTTTTAACCCTGTAACTAATCCAGCGGAGGAGGGGGCGTGACTGAGCTGTCTCATGCTTGCGACAGAGGGAAATTTGAATTGAATAGCAACGCAGAGAGAGGCCAGCATCTTCAATGACAGCCATGCCTTTTAACATACTCAGTCTATCAAGTCAGCAGGCCGTGGCCTTGGAGCGCAGGGTTCAGTAATATAAATCTATTACTGACTCTGCCAGTGTAAGTGGAGTCAGGAGCTGGACTGCAGTCCAAGCAGCAGCTGGGGGCTGATCTGTCCTGCACACAGCCAGCCTCACCCTGACAGTCACAGCTAGTATTGGATTTTCAATCAGCATTTGATATTTCATTTGTCACTTCATCGCTCTCAAGTGCCTCATAACTCTGACATTTAACAGCCCCGCCTCAGTGGATCCGAAATATTGTTGCATGGGTGTGTGTGTGTATTTTGCATTGATCTCTTACCTCTACACAGGTCTCAATATCCTGGTATTGATTCATGATTGGCAGGATGGTCTCCATGCTGCTGTGTTCCACTAGGTCTGACTTGTTCCCCACAAGGATCAGTGGTACCCTGCCATTTAGTAAAACCATTTATAACTACATTAAAGAGCTGCAACAATTATGTGATCGATTGAAAATTAATGCAACTAATTTGATGCTAGATTTATTGTTTGGCCCACTTCTTTTCATCCAAAAAATCATCCTCTGCTCTAATTGCAACCTCTTCCACTTGTCCACTTGCCAGTTTTATCTGTTTTCTATTACTGCAAACTGAATCTCTTTAGATTTTGGACAAAACAAAACATTTGATGCCGTCAACAAAGACTCTGGGAAAATGTGATGAGCATTTATCACTGTTTTCTGACATTTTAGACACCAAAAAAATCAACTGATTACTTAAGTGCTGATGACAATAATGGTTAGTTAAATCCCTACTCCATTATATTTGCATAATATTGTGGATTAGCTTCAATCACCTTGATATAAACACATTCGAGCATTAATGGCACATATGAAATGTATCTATATCCATTCATGTGGTTTACAATCACTATCAAAGGCAGCAACAGGACAAGTGATTCTATATTTCATTCAGTATGCCATGCAGTTACTAAGTATTAACTTTATGTACAGCCCTGTTTTAACAGGCTTAAAGCAACAACCCAGAATAATATCACCACTCAACAGTTCTACAGTTTGCATCTGTCTTTGTGGCTGGAACAACAACATTGCAAAAACTGTCAGCTAATGTGCCACAGACCCCCAAGAGCAACTAAAAGTCAGATCAGCAGCTGCACATTATACCATCTCAACATGATAATTGGATTGCAGACGTAGTGCCACCAGCATTGCTGACGCGACTTGCAGGGAAGACAGAGACATACACACAAACACACATCTATTAAAGTGGCATGAACACACCTGCTATCTTTGTCCGTTCTGTCATTTATGAGGGGAATCCAGTGGCTTGTCACCTAGACGAGGAAAGCATAACATCAAACACTGTAGCTGGGCCAAACATTCATTACAAACACTAAGTAAGATGACAGGGATATGGAGTGTCCTGTTTCAAATTCTGGACATACTACAGTTAAATATTTGATTAATTACCCCAACCACGCTCACCTTTTCAATTGACTTCTTGTTGTTGACTGAATAAACTATGCAGATAACATTTGCCTATAAAGACAAAAGAGCAGTATTAGCTTGGGATGCGCATAAGACAAAGCGAGCATTGACATTATGTGACCAAATGAGAGTAAGAATTAAGTCAAACCAACCTTGGATATTTCTTGATACAGCTGCTCGTCTGACTGTTCTGCTTCTAAAAGATATCAAAAATGCACATCAGTATAGTGTTTTACGTGTTATCCAGCCTTACTAACTGTTACCAAATTAATTTATTATTAGTAATATGGAGAAGGAATTATCTGTAATCATCTGTCATGATATCCATGGTGTGTGTGTGTGTGTGTGTGTGTGTGTGTGTGTGTGTGTGTGTGTGTGTGTGTGT